AGCAACCTCCTCAGAAAGACGACCCCGAAGTCGCTGTCGGGCTCGGAGCTCCCGACGTGGTCGAGGGGCGCGCCGAAGACGAATTGGGCGAGCCTCTCGCTGTGCTGACGGTCCCGCAAGCACTGGTAGAAGGACATGGCGATGCACTCGAAAGAGTAGCTGATCGCCGCCTCTTCTCCCCACGCCGAGAAGGACCACCATCGTCCGCCACGTGATCACGAACCTGAGTCGGCGGGGCCGCCGACCCCTCACACCTCTCGGCAGCCGCCCAGGGACGAACTCCCTCGCCCTGCCCAGAAGGCGCAAGGCTTGCGCCCAGAGCTTTACCGTCCCCGACCGACTGGGGCCAGGGGAACGTGGAGCCGTCCACAGGGCAGTCTGCCGAGGGTCCGCCCGCGGCGGAGGACGCTCCCCCTCCATTATCCCCCATGGGGGGGGGGGCCTCTGGCCACATTGACGGCTGCCAGGGGTGGAGGGGGTCCGACGAGCAGCTCGACCTCCGCGTCGTGCCAGGCGACGATGGGGCCGAAGCAGTCGACGCGGAAGCCGCCGCTGACGTAGCCGACGTAGAAGAAGTAGTACTGCTTTTCGCAAGCCTCGACTGCCCACCAGCCTTGGCCACATCGCAGTAGTTGAAACGTACGCGGCCTCCCCGAGTCGATCGAGCTGACCGGCTGCCATGCACAAGAATGTCTCTTAACGTGTTACCCGCACTCCGATGCGCCCGCCGCTTCAGCGGCCGCACCTTTGCTTGCGCCCGTCGCCGAAGCCGCTGCGACCGCAGCCCGAGCCTCGGCCTTGAGCTGCTCGCTGTCACCAGCTCCACCCGCAGTGCCTGGCTGGCCATCAGGAGGAACGCCCGCCCATTCAGGCTGAGCAGGCTGCCCAGGCTGCCCCGCTGCTGCAGGCGCTGGCTCCTCCTTGGACTCCTCCTCGTCGGCCGTGCGGCGCTTCTTCGCCGCCAGCCGCCCCTGCAGGGCCTTGCGCTCGGCCTGCAGGGCCTCTCCCTTCTGGCGCACCTCGCCGAAGAAGCTGCCCGCCATCTGCTCGAAGGACTCGAGCATCTGCTTCTTCCTGCGCTGCGCCTCCGCCAATGCCTCTGGTCCGAGCCCCTCGAACTCCGCGTGGCCGAAAAGCCCGTCGTCGTCGAGGTCCAGGTCGTCCAGGTCCCCGTCCATGAGCTTAGCCAAGGACAGTTTGAGCCCCCCCCCCCCCCCCAAGCATCAGCCGCAGCATCTTTGCCAGGGGCTCCCACTCCTGCAGCGGCCTCGGCCACCGCCTCCTTGTAGTCGGCCTCCGCGCACCCGAGCTCGGGCACCGACTCAGCGACCAGCACGCGCTGCTTGTCCACCTGCGCGAGCAGGTCCTGGAGCACCGCGCTCTCCGCCTCCAGCTTGCTATTGAGCTTGCGGACCTTCGCATGCGCTTTGTTGGCCCTGGGCTGCGATGGCTGCTCGCTGCCCTTGCCCAGCTGGTCCAAGAGCTGCTTGTACTTCTTGGCTGTCTGCATATCCCCAGACTTCTCTGCCATCGTGACCACGGAGCGCAACTCATCCTTGGAAAGGGCCGTGGTGGCGGACTGGGACTTGGCCTGGCTGGCCTGGATGGCAGCGCGGCGCTTGTCGGCCATCTCCTTGTCTCCCTTGCTCTCGGCAAAAACGACCAAGGCCTGCATGGCGTCCACACTGAGGCCACCTCATCCCGAGCAGGAGCACCACCGCCACCAGCAAGACGAGCACGGTCCCTCTTCCACGGAGGCTGCGAGTCCCCGCCGTCGCGCTCGGCTCCGCAGTGCTTGCACCAACGCCACCGCGCCAGGTTCTTGGCAAAGCGGCAGTCGGGCTGGGAGCACCGCCACATCTCCCCGCCCTCCGATCGCGGTCGCGACGAAGCCCTCGATGGTGCCCGCGACCGAGGCTTGCCGCCCTCTGCACCCATGTCGGCGAGGTGGCCGTCGCCGTGGTGCCCGCGCAGCAGCCGCCTAGCACGGTCGACTGCCAGCAGGCCGCGAGCCACCGCCCGCCGCCTCCGCAGTCGCCTGTGCCAGGCAGGGGAAGGCGCCCGATGGCGGCGCCCTCGGCCGTCCGTGACGCCCGCCGCCCCAAGGGCCGCAGGCTGGGGGCTGGGACAAAACGGGCCCCTGTGGCCCGCAGGTCCGAGACAGCCTGGAGAACTGGAAGAAGATGAGTGGGAGGGGGAGGAGGAGCAGCAGCAGCAGCAGGAGGAGGAGAGTAGGAGGTGGTGGAGGAGGAGGCGGAGGAAAAACGACCTCCAGGGACCTCACGGGATCTCCTGGGAGGATGTGGAGGAGAAGGTAGAAGTCGCCAGCATTGGAGCGGGAGGGGCTGAATGCCACCGCCTCCCTCTCATTCTCCTCTCGCCATCAGATACAAAACACACACGCACATCTTTTCTATCTACAGAAACTCTCGAACAACCGCAGACAGGCCAGCTAGTCTAATCCCACCAGCCCTCTGGGCGTGAGTGGTTCAATCTGGGAGTTTCCTCTTCCATCTTCCCTCGTCCCTTTCGGGAAGGAACTTACCCCTCCCACTACCCCCTTACCCCTAGGTCAGGAGGCGGGGGCGGTGCTTTGTTGGAGCGTCAAGGATGGCCTCGGCGAGAAGGCCGAATCACTAATTTAGTTGTTGGGCACATGTTGGCCTCCTGGGGGAATGCTAATTTAGTGCGGCCTCTCTTTTGATCGATCTCCTCTCAGGTGGCCCCACGATGGCCCCCGAAGCTCACAAGGGTAATCCGAGACAGCCCCAAGAGGTGTCCAGAAAGCCCCAAGAGGCCCCCAAGAAGCCCCCAAGATGCAAACGAGAGGCTCCCAAGATAACCCAGAGACGCCCCAAGAGGCCCCCCAGAGGCACCCAAGACGCCCCAAGAGGCCTCGGCGAGAAGGTTCAAATCATTCATTCTACTCAGGTGTTGGCCACATGTTGGCCTCTGGGGGGGTTGAGGGGCCCATAGCAGGAGACCCCCTCCTTTGATCCACCTCTTCCAAGATGGCCCCAAGATGGCCCCGAGGTTTCCAGGGGTGTTCCAAGACGGCCCCAACAAGTGCCCAGGAGCCCCACGAGGCCCCAAACCCCCCAAGATGCCCCCGAGAGGCTTCCAAGAGACCGCCGAGAGGCCCCAAGAGGCCCCCCCGGGGCACCCAAGACGCCTCAAGAGACCCCAGGGCCCCAAAAGACCCCCAAGACGCCTCAAGAGGACCCCCGAAGCTCTCGAAAGAAATCCGAGGAGACTCCGAGAGGCATCCACGAGTCGTCCTCATCCTCCTCGTGCTCCTCCTCCGATGTCTCCCAACCAAGCCTTGATTCCACTACATGCCCCTCCGCGGCCCTGATCAGGGCAACTGGCCTGGACATCGATTATGGATGGGCTGGTGGGATTCCGCGAAACGTCTGGAATAAGGGCCCCCCCCCTCTGCCAGCGGATTGAGCCGTGCATCCCTGCCCCCCCTCCTGAAGCTACGGCCTTTCTAAGCTTCCAAAACGGCCCATGCAGGCAACACATGGCACCACGATGGACCAACATGTCTCACAGACAGGCCAAGACGGCCCCAAGCTGGCCCCACACGATGGCCCAAAGATGGCCCAAGAGAACCGCACGAGGGCCCTCCTGATCATCATCAACATCATCATCAGCATCATCATCATCATCACCAGCAGCATGATCATCATCAGCATCATCATCCTCATCATCATCATCATCATCATCCTCATCCTCATCATCATCATCATCATCATCATCATCATCATCATCATCATCATCATCATCATTAGCATCGTCATCACCATCATCATCACCAGCAGCAACAACATCAGCACCAGCACCAGCATCTGCATTATCAGCATATTCATCATCACCATCAGCATCATCATCATCATCATCAGCGCATCATCCGCATCATCATCACCATCATCATCATCATCAGCATCATCAGCATCATCATCACCAAAATCCTTATCGTCATCATCATCACCATCATGATCAGCATAAACATCACCCGCATCACAATCATCAACATCACCATCGTCACCATCATCCTCAGCATCATCATCAACATCAACGACATCATCAGCATCAGTACCATCATCACCAGCAGCATCAGCATCATCATCAGCATCATCATAGTCAGCCTCATCCTCATCCTCAACCTCCTTCTCCTACTCATCAGCATCAGCATCAGCATCATCGACATCGTCACCATCGTCATCATCAGCAACGGACTCAACACCATCATCATCGGCAGCATCGTCATCATCACCAAATCAGCATCATCACCCGTGTCATCAGCAGTCTCAGCATCACTGGCATCAACATCACCAGCATCATCAATATCATCATAATCATATCATCATTGGCAGCATCAGCATCATCATAATTATCATAAGCATCCTCAACCGCAGCATCAGCATCATCGCCATCATCATCATCAGCATCATCATCATCATCGTCATCGTCATCGTCGTCGTCATCGTCAGCATCTTCACCAGCAGCACCATCATCAGCATCAGCATCAGCCTCAGCAGCACCAGCAGCATCATCAGCAGCATCGTCATCATCAGTATCACCATCATCACCATCGTCGTCGTGGTTGTCGTCGTCATCGGCATCGACATCGTCATCGTCATCGTCATGCTCGTCCTCCTCATGCTCCTTCTCCTCATCATCATCATCATCATCATCATCATCAGCATCATCATCATCATCATCATCATCATCATCATCATCATCATCATCATCAGCATCATCATCATCATCATCAGCAGCATCGTCATCAGCATCAGCATAATCATCATCAGTATAATCATTGTCATCACTGTCAAAGTTGTCAACATTGTCATCGTTGTTGTCATCATCATCACTATCATCATCATCACCATCATCATCCTCATCATCAGCAGCATCATCACCATCATCATCCTCATCACCAGCAGCAGCAGCACCCTCACGCCCTCCAAGAAAGTGTTCGCGCGCGGAGCGACTCGGCGTCAGCTTGCTCGAAGGCCTTGCGGCGGGATCCATGGGGAGGAAGCGGGGAGGAAGCGAAGCGGAGCGAAGCGCGTAGCCCTGCGCGAGCGGGACCCTCGAGGGTCAGCGCGAGGGTGTCCTGGTCCTTCCACCGCGGTGTCGGCGGTCACCTAGCCCCAAGCAGTTCGCAGAGAAATGGTCGCATGTGTGTGACGAACTCTCTGGTCTCTATCCGAGGCACTCCTCCGCGGCCGTTGCTCGCCCGCCCGCCCAAGTGTGCCGAGTGCCCAGCGCGGCCCGCCAGCTCTGCAGACGCGCTTGCGACCCCCAGCGCTTCCGAACAGAAATAACCAATCGCCCTTGCAACCTATGCCAGGCGTAACTGTCGCAGACGAGGTAGGAAGGGTGGCGGGTATGCGGGCGCTTATTGGGGGGGGCGGGTGGCCGGGGCCCCCAGCCGCACCGGCGTCTCCTCCGCCTTCAGGTTGTCCGCCTGCTGTCTCATTCTCTCTCTACAGCGAGCCTCGCCGTTATCGCAACGCCCCGCTCCTGCTTTCCGCGCCAGGGGGGAGGGTAGTCTCCCCACCCCTGTCCGCACAGCGGTACCTCCCGCCTCATCAGGCTGGTGCGGAGGGCGCTTGCAACCCTCGCGCCAGACGGGCTTCGGCTCGTCGAGCTGGCGCAATCTCCTCCTCCTCCTCCTCCTCCTCCTCCTCCTCCTCCTCCTCCTTCCCCACCTTGAGCCAGGCCTGGTCTGCAACAGCGGGCGTGGTGGAGCGCAACCCCAAAGCCAAGGGGCCCATCCCAGGTGGGAAAGGAGGGGAGCCGTCGACTTGCCCTGGGCCGTGACGCGAGGGGGACCCTCGATCCTGGATCCTCGATCGATCCTCGATCCTCCGATCCCCCATCCTCCGGATGGAGTGAGAGAGGGAGGAAGGTGGCATGTCAGGACAACGGGCTGCGTGGTGCCCGAAGCCCCGTGGCGGCGGCTGGCTTCTTGGTGCCCACCCGATCGTGCAAAAGGGCTCCCAAACTGAGGTTCAAATGGCTGACTCCTGGGCGTCTCTCCCTCACCTCGAGGGGTGGGACGTGGGGTCGAGGGGAGAAGGGAGGGAGGAAAGGAGCGACGGAGGAGGCTACGAGAACGGCGCCCATGCACCGCACCGTTGTTGAATTCCTTTCCTTCAGGCCACCTCTCCAAAAGGCCAATATCATGCATGTGGCATAGGTTGCGGGAAAATGTACCATTCTCGGCTTTTCGGGCTTCTGACAGTCAGAGACGGGCAAAGAGGGCCCCCAAGTATCAAAAATGGGTGCACGCTATGCGCGGTTGTGCCGCGTTTAGCGTGCACGTCCGACGTGGGAGAAAAACGCGTTTAGCGTGCACGTGGGATGTCTGTAAAATACCAACGTCTAGAGCGCACCTGTGTTTCAGAATGTCGATCTGGCTCAGCACTCCCTGGAACCACACTTGGCCTCTCGGCCTCCGCAGGCCCGAGCCACTTCTGCCTTGCTCTCCTTTTCCTACGTTTCCTCGTCCGTATCCGCCTTATCTTCCTTCTCCTTCTCCCCCTCCTCCTCCTCCTCCTCCTCCTCTTCCACTCCCCCCTCCTCCTACCCCTCCCCCTCCTCTTCCTCCTCCTCATCCTTCTCCTCCTCCTCCTCCTCCTCCTCCTTTGCCTCCCCCTCCTCGTCGGAAGAGGAGCGCAGCAGGGGACGGAGTGGAATGGCGAGTATGAGGAGGAGGACGCGCATAGAAGGCACCCCCAAACGGGGGCCATGCACGTTTTCAGTCGGATGGGGAGCGGAGGAGGGGACGGAGTGGAATGGCGAGCTGGAGGTGGAGGACATGTATAGAGTGCACCCCCCGAAGGGCGCCATACGAGCATCTCGCTCGGAGGAGGGGGGTAGGGGACGGAGTGGAGAGGTGAGCCGACTAGTAATCGAATAGAGTGCAGCGCGACGGTCCATTGAGCGCGCCGCATATCGCCAACGTAAAAACGTTTAGCGAGCAGGCCTGCTTTGAGACATGGACAACGTATACCGCGCACGCACTGTTTGATATGATTACCCAAGTGGTTTAGGCCGGGGGAGTCGGCGTATAACGCGCACGGTAATCGAACAATTTCTTGTCCCTCAAAGGGGGTCGTGCGGCGACTTGACCGTATCTGTTTCTCTTGTGGCCAGAATTCGTTGTCGAATAGTGCTTGAACTCTCGCTATTTGTGCTGCGCATTCGATGTGTTGCCTTTCGTATGCCTGGTGTTGGTGGGCGTACCATCGTGATTGTCGTTTATGTTGTGTAAGCCCCTCTTCAAGGAGTTGAGTTCTCTGCGCGGGAAACATGGTCTATGGTGCTTGCTGTTTGGCGACTTCTGCCTGTTTCAGCTCGCAATGGTGGTGGATATGCTGAATGGTGTGCTGCATGCTCCCGTTCTGTCTGGTGCTCGGCTCTGAGAATGTCATCTGGGTGCTTGGTGTTGGTTGGGTGGTTGAAGGCGGTTGTGTCGCTGAGTGCTGCTGCTTTGCGTGTAATTATTGTCGTAGCTCGTTGCCGGTTGCCTGACAAGGGGGTCGACCTTCTGTACCACCCTAGTCCATGCAAATCTGGGCTCTGAAACAGGTGTCGAGTTATAAACGCAAGCCTAATAGGAGACATGTTAGGACCCTTCCCCAGCCCCGCTACCCAGTACCCAAATTTGCCGTTCCCCACGCCGCGTTGGCAGGGGGCGAGTTCAACAAAAAAACGAATGGTTGAAGTAAGAATGGGTTTCCCGAAAACTGGCGGCGACCGCCGAGGGGTGCGTTCAAGAAAAATCGCGGGTGGGTTGAAGGCGAACAGCTTTGGCAGAGGTGGCGGCGGCCCCAAGGGTGGGTCTCTTCGTAAATTAGCACATATTCCCCGATCCATGCTCGCCAGACAGAGCGAATCGGGGCGACAACGACGACGGTGACAACGAACTGGGGATGCCCCATGGGGGGGAGGGGCAACGCAAAGCCTGGCGACGCCGTAGGGTGGCAGGAGTGGGACGCAAGAGCGGTAGCAGAAGTTAGTAGTAGTGGTAGTAGTAATGGTAGTAGTCGTATTATTTGTAGTAGTAGTAGTAGTAGTAGTAGCAGCAGTAGTAGTAGTTGTAGTAGTAGTAGTAGTAGTCGTAGTAGTAGTAGTAGTGGTAGTAGTAGTAGTAGTAGTAGTAGCAGTTGTAGTAGTAGTAGTAGTAGTAGTAGTAGTAGTAGTAGTAGTAGTAGTAGTAGTAGTAGTAGTAGTAGTAGTAGTAGTAGTAGTAGTAGTAGTAGTAGTAGTAGTGGTGAGATTCGTAGTAGTAGTAGTAGTAGTAGTAGTAGTAGTAGTAGTAGTAGTAGTAGTAACGGTAGTAGTAGCAGTAGTAGAGGTGATAGTAGCAGTCGTAGTCGTAGTCGTAGCCGTCGCAGTAAATAGTAGCAGTTCTGAGAGTGATAATGGGAGTAGTAGTAGTAGTAGTAGTAGTAGTAGTAGTAGTAAAAGTAATAGAAATACTTGTAGTAGCGGTAGTAGTTGTAGTGTGTCGCGGAAATAAAAGTAAGATTACGAATAATAACAATAAGAACAGTAGTAGGAATAGTTATAGTGCCAGCAGTAGCAGGAGTAGCAGTCGTAGTAGTAGTAGTAGTAGTAGTAGTAGTAGTAGTAGTAGTGGCAGTCGCAGCAATAGAAATACTAGTCGTAGTCGTAGTAGTAGTAATAATACAAATAATAGTAATAGTAATAGTAGTAGTAAAAGTAGAAATCATAGTAGTAGTACTAGCAGTGCTCGTTGCAGTAGTAGTCGTAGAAATACTGATAGCTGTCGTAATAGCAATAGTAGTAATCGTAGTAGGTCGTAGATTGCAGTAGGGCGTACTAAGTCGTAGTAGTTGTGGTAGTCGTGATGGAAATACTCATACTAATAGATGCAGTAGTAGTAGTAGTAGTAGTAGTAGTATTAGTAGTAGTAGTAGTAGTAGTAGTAGTAGTAGTAGTAGTAGTAGTAGTAGTAGTAGTAGTAGTGGTAGTAGAAGTAGTAGTAGTAGTAGTAATGGTAGTGAGAGTAAACGTAGGTCGCATTTGCAATACAAGTAGCAATAATAGTAGCAGCCGTGCTACTAGGAGTCATAGAAATAGTCGTAGCAGTAATAACAACTTTCTAATCGTAGTAGCAGCAGTAGTAGTAGTAGTAGAAGCAGTAGAAATAGTAGACGTAGTGGAACTAGTAGTAGTAACCGCAGTACTAGTAGTAGCAAGAGCAAAACATGCAGGCGTCGTAGTAGTAGTAGTAGTAGTAGTAGTAGCAGTAGTAGTAGTAATAATAAGAGTGGTCGTAGAAGTGCTGTACGTAGTAGTGGTCGTGGTGGTAGCAGGAATAATAACAGTCATAGAAGTAGAAATAATGGCGATAGTAAGGATAATAGTCGTAGTAGTAGTCGTGGTAGTAGTAGTAGTAGTAGTATTAGTAATAGTCGTAAAAGTAGTCGTAATAATAGCGGTGGTGGTAGGAGTAGTAGTAATAGTAGCCGCCATCGTATTAGTGGTAGCAGTAGTAGTAGTAGTAGTAGTAGTAGTAGTAGTAGTAGTAGTAGTAGTAGTAGTAGTAGTAGTAGTACTAGTAGTAGTAGTAGTAGTAGTAGTAGTCGAAATAGTCGTAGTAGCAATCGGAATAACAACCGTAGTAGTAACAACAATTAGACAACACACGGATGACACGTGTCACCCTGAAAACTGCATGAGAACAACCAATTGTTCCAGTCGCATTCTGGACGCCAACATGGACCACACAATGTAAAAACAACGCTCGAATGATACGTGTCACCCCGAAAGCCGTCTGGTATTCTGGACGCCAGCACGGGGCCATACAATATGAAACATAACATGAAACACACGCGTCACCACGGAAACCGTGTGAGAAAAAACAACTATTCCACTCGCATTCTGGACGCAACATGGGGCCGTACAGCGTGAAACAACACACGGGTGACACGTGTTACCCCAGAAACCGTCTGAAAACAACAAATTGTTCCACTC